CACTATGTAACTCAGGGTAGCCTTTAACTCTTGATTTCCTCAGTGCTGGGATTACCAGTGTGGGCTACTACATCCAGCATGTTTTGTCTTTAATCACTGGATTTTTTCACAACATTGCCATGAAATTGATGTGATCACAATTTCTACATTAAAGATGATGAAATGGTAGAGGTCAGGAATTTAAGGCACAGGATGGAGAATTCTGGACAGTCATACTATGAAGGCTATGCTTTTATTCTTTTTAAACCACAGCTAATGTCTTTATAGTGCTTTTTTATTGGTACATTTTAGATATGAATATTGGTAACGTTCATCATAGAGAATTTGTACCTGTACAAATGATCTATCTTGATTTTTCTTTTTTCCCATTCTCCTCCCCTCTCTTATTTCCTCTTCCTCTCTTTATTTACAAAAGCTTCATTTCCTTTTTTTGGGGGGGGGTACTGGGGATCAGCTTGGGACCATGAGCTTGTAAAGCGGGCGCTTATCCCTGCTGAGCTAAATCCTCAGCCCTCTTCTATTTTTTCCTGTCCCTTCCTTTCTTTCCCCCTCCCTCTCCTGTTCCCCTTCCCATTTGAACATTTTCTTTCCATTTTTCCATATTATACATTTTGATTCTTTTTTACACTTTTCATTTCTCACACCAGAGAAACAATGTGGTACTTACACGAGTCTGATTTATTTCTTTTAAGAGTGTGGTCTCAAGGTGCATCTATTTAACTAGAAATGTCTCAAGCTTATCCTTCTTTATGGTGGAATAGCACTCCATCGTGTTAAAAAACTTTATGCACTCATTGTTGATGTGCATTTGCGCTGCTTCCAAGATTTAGCTATTATAATCTGCGCTGCTATAAACATACATGTGCATACATTGCTGTGGTACAATCTTTTTCATTCTTTCTGGGAAATACCAAGAAGGGGAATAGCTGCTTGACAGTATTTAAGGCACTTTCAAACTCTTCATTTCAGGGCCAGGGATTTAGCTCAGTGCTCTAAGTGCCTGCCTGGAAAGTGCAAGGTTGATCCCTGGTACAAACAAAAACAACCCAAAATTCTTCATTTCAGAGCAATCAAATACTATCATAGCTAAGCGAGAACAAAATTTCATTTGTGAACACATCTGTCCAAGAGCACAAAGCTAATAGCAGCAGAGCCTGTAGCTAGCTTGCCTTTCTTTTTCTTTCTTTCTTTCTTTCTTTCTTTTCTTTCTTTCTCTCTCTCTTTCTCTCTTTCCTTCCTTCCTTCCTTCCTTCCTTTCTTCCTTCCTTCTTTCTTTCTTTCTTTCATAAGAAACAGGGCATAGCTATGTTCCCCAGGATAACCTTGAACTTCTGGGCTCAACTGATCTTTCTGCCCCTCAGTCTCTCCAATGTCCGGAACTATATAAAAATGACACTGTGCCCAGCTACAGCCTGTTTTTTTTTTTTTTTTTCGAGCCTGTACTTTAAAATAAACTCTATAAGGCCTGGTGTGGTGGCTCATGCCTGTGTAATCTGAATACTTGGGAGGCTGAGGCAAGAGGATTACCATAAGTTTGAGACCAGCCTGGGCTATGTAAGTTAGTTCGAGGCCTGCCTACATTACAGAGTAAGATCCTGTTACAGAAACAAAACAAAATCTCATGAATTGAATAATGTTAAATTTTCTATTTTATTTATTTAATCTATTTTTGAGGTGCTGGATAAAAGATTGAGTCTATGACCTTTGCACTGAGCTATATCCTTCATACTATTTATTTTGAGGGTCTTGCTATATAGTTCAAGCTATGTAGGTCTTGCTTGGCCTCAGGATTACTACGTAGCCCAGGCAGGCTTTGAATTTATGTCAATCCTTCTGCCTCAGCCTCCTGGGTGCTGGGATTATAGATAGGCATATATCACCACACTTGGCATCCCTAGTCCTTTAAAAAATTAAAAAGAAATTCTTTTCATTTTGAGATAGGGTCTAAGTCATTAAATTGCCCAGATGGACCTTGAACTTGCAATCATCCTGCCTCATCCTCCCAGAGTGCACAGGTTACAGGTGTGTGTCACCACACGTGGCTGTCTTTTCTATTTTAGAGATGAGTTAACTCATTTGCAGAGAGATGAAGTAACTTCCCAGAGTTACACAGCTACTGGCTGGCAGATGAAACGATGTAGAGTCTGAGGGTAGGAACCAGGCACCTGGGTTGAGTCCCAATCTCAGGGTCTGTTTCTTTGCTATATTACTATTACTTCTTTCTCTAACTCCTAATTATGGCAGGTCTACACAGCTCCTGCTACCAAGGAGCCAACACTGTAAAATCAGCTAAGGATACCACCAGCTTTGCCTCACAGGAGTGCTAGGAAAATTACTGTCAGTGGTACTTGGTATGTTTCAGCAGAGGCCCTGAATAAACTCAGGGCACTTAGTGTGAAACACACTATCAAGGGCAGTTCATGCCTTAACAAGGGGCCTGAAGCCCAGTTTCTGATCTATTTGAAGTGTAGAGGAAGTATAACCACATTACCTTATAGCCCTCTTTGGGAACCATTTGGACGGCATAGGTTAATAGGATGCCAAACCTTTTTGAGCTTTCAGAAATAACAAACAGCTGGCTGTGGCATGTGTGCCCTATAATTGCTATCACTGGGCAAGGGTATCTCTGCTGGTCATGGTGTAAGGGAAGGTGGTGCCACCAGGGTTTCAGGCTTTTCATTCTTAGAGGCTAATGTTTTTCCAGCATCTCAGAAGGGTTTCTAGCTTACTTGTAGGGATATCAATTATTGACAGGCGTTAGACTAACATCATGGTCAACTGGGCTCTGGAAGTAGACAAAACCTGGACAGAATCTGATTCTATCATATCATGTCTCTGAGCCTCCATTTTTTTTGTACCAGGAATCAAACTCATGACTTAGCCCTAGCCAGGCAGGTACTGTGTCACTGAGGTATATATCTGGCCTCCATTCCTTTTTAAAATGGGGATAATAATACCTCCTTCACAGGGTTATTATGAAGCATAAACTTGATAGTATATTTAACATTTTCCTCAGGGTTTGGAATACAGGAGATGCTCAAAAAATGGCCATGATTGTAACCATTACTGTTATCCTTATGCTGTTATGTTATTTACTGATATTTTAGGGCCACATCAACAGCCAGATGGAAGGAAGATTCATTCACTTGTTCAGCAGTCTACTAGATTATCCAAAGTAGGCCAGTCTAAGGACAATCCTGAAAACAGGCATTTAAAGCTTAATGCTATAAGTGCTATGGTAGGGAACTGCATAGGTGTTTTGAGGCTTTAAAGGGAGAGTCAGTTAACAGGCCACACAGCAAAAGTTTTGCAGAGGAGGTAGTTCTACAATTCCAGACTGCTTCCAGGAAGTGGAAAATGCTACTTGCCAAAGGCAGAGTACAATACATGCAGCTGCTGAAAATGTGTTCTTCACTCCAGAGGCTGACTCTGATCTGCTTCTTGTTGCTCAAGGCCTCTCAGCTCCCACACAGCTCTGCCAGGCAGGCTTGCTGTAGAAAAATCCCCTTCTGGGGCACCTGGTGGTAAACAGCCCAAGTTCAGTGCTATGGCTTCATGTGGCTGAGTCATAAGACCTTTCTTTCAGCAACGAAGCTCTAATGGAAGCCTCTGGTCAGGAGCAAGGCCCCAACTCAACCTTGTGGGAAAGGGTTAGTGGTGTCTGACTACTGCTTTTCCACACTAGGTCAGGTTGAACACGTGGTGGAGAGGTGGGAAAGAGGCATCCTCATTTCTTTTTAGGTAACTGCCTGTTCTGGGTAGGTGAGAATACCTAAGGTAGAGTGGTGTGTGTGTGTGTGTGTGTGTGTGTGTGTGTGGACACATAACCCCTGCTGCCCCTATCTCTCAAGTAGGAGTCTCCCCAGTTTCTTCCAAGCCACCTTTCAGGGCCTGTTCTGGCTGCCTACCCGCAGTGGCTCAGATCAGTCTCCCAACTCACTACTGATCACTTTTTTCAAACCAAAACGTACAACTAATGATCTTGCAAATTTTGGGCCAGCTTCCAAAGTCAAGAGGCAAAAACCTTTCCTCTGGGATAATCAGCATCGTTAAAGGGGACACGAGGGTAGAAACCTTGAAATTCACAGTCTTCTCTTTATCAGGCGTTTCTTTCATACATTATTGATAAGTGAAAAAAGCCCATCAAATAGCTATTATTTCTACTTTTTAGTTGAGAATGCTTAGCAAGGAGATCATCTGTCCAACTTCGCAATTTCTGAAGTCTGAATTTTGGCCTGTCAGTGAGGGTTCTTAGTTTGGGAGTGTGCCTTAAGGAAGGAGGCAGGGAGCAGCACTAAACTGTCCTTCGCAAAGACCCGACAAGGCATTTGAGGCCTCCAAAGCAGCCAAGAACTCAGCTGCATGGTTTCCACTTGTGAGTTGGAAATCCCCAAGCACAGGACTCGGTCGCCGCCCCATCCCATCAGCAGCTGGCCGCAGGCCGCACCGCGAGGGAGCCAGAATAAGCCAGACGACCTTGCGGGTCACCCAGCGGCCGCGCGCCCTTGCCCTAGCCCAGGTGCGGACCGGCTGGGCGTCGCAAGGGCAGCCGACTCCCGGGGTCACGTCCCCCCCACCTTTCGCCGGTCACATGGACCCGCCTTCCGTCGCCGGCAGCGTGGAGCAGAGCGAACCAGAGAAGGAGGTGCCGAGGGCAGTAGGTCAGCGCCCCGCGGGGAAGGTGGGCGGGGCGAGCTGCTCGGCGAGCGGCGGCCAGCCAGTCAGAGGCGCCGAGGGCGGGCCAGCGGCAGCGCGCGCCGCGCCCCGCAGCGCCCCCTGAGGGGCGGCGGCGGGAGCTGGTTCCGGCTGCGCGCGCAGCGGTGGTAGTGGTGGCGGCGGAGCGATCAGCCAGGCTGTAACCGTCGCCTGTCCCGAGCAGCTGGAGCGGCAGGGCGGCCGGGAACGGCGCGAGGCGACGCCACAGGAGAGCGGCGGCAGCGGGGTTAGCGGCGGCAGCAAGAGACGCAGCGGCGGCCCTAGCAGCAGCAGCAAGACGGACTCGTGGACACGCGCCGCCGCCGCCGCCGGGCCGGGCCGGGTGTCGCGCGCCGAGGCTGGGGGGGAGTCGTCGCCGCCGCCGCCACCGCTACCGCCGCCGCCGCCGCCGCCGAGGTGACTGAGGAGAGAGGCGCCTCCTCGCTCCCGCCCCCTCCGGACTTCAATGCCCAGTCCCCAGCTCGCCAGCGTGAGTGCGCCCCTCCCGGGCGGCCTGCGCCGGCGCCCGGGGCCTCGGGCAGGGGAGGGCGGGAGGCGCCGCTGCCATTAGTACAGGCCTGAGACACGTCCCCGGAAGGAGGGCCGGGCCGGGCCGGGCTGGGCCGGCGGCGGGCGGGCGGGGAGTGAGGGAGCGGACAGGATCCTGTGTGGAGGAGTGTGGGGTGCTTGAGCGCGTGGGGTAGAGCGCGAATGTGTGTGGTGCGGGAGAAGGTGAGTGTCCTTGTGGGTGCGCGGAAGGGGGCGAGAGCCGGATGGGGCATATATGAGAGTGGGAGAGTGAAGAGAGTGAGTGGGAGCGAATCCAGCGGGGAGGAACCTGAGGGGGGCAGCGTGTGGGCACGAGTGGGGAGGAGGGTGTGGCGTGGGGGGATATCGTGAGGACAGCGTCCGGGAGGTGAGTGGCAGATGGGGGAATGTGCAAGGTTGTGCCTGCGTTTGTCCAGCGTGCGAGCAGGTATCCTGGACGTCTTGCTCCTTGGTCTTTGTGTGTGGGGATAGTGAATTCAGGTATCCTGGAAAAAGTAGTTATCTCTAGCAGCACATCTTGTCACTGAGTCCTTGTGTTCAAGAACGAGGAAAGGATCTGAGTCTTCTAGTGACACAGTGATATCTGGCGCTGGGATCTCCGCTCCCCAACGGATGTGACTTTTTTCTTTAATTTCCCCCCATCCCTGCTGCCACGTTTCATGAAATTGACATGAGTTTCCGAAATTGTCAAGGATATGATTGTCATCCCATCTTAGTCTGGCGGCTCTAAGAGCTAAGTCTTGATTCTTGCCCAGTGTGCTGTTGCCTGTGTTCAGAAGCATAAACTTTTTTTCCTTTTGTTTTTGGTAAAGTACTACTAATTTTTCAGGTGAAAAGTTTTGTATTATTAGATAAGTTCAAATGAGAAAGTGAAGTGGTATCTTTTGGATAGTGACTTCCTATTTTTTTGGAGAAAAGCTCATAAGAAGTAATAACAGTATAACATTGATGAAGAAAAACCATATGTTAGTTTATTTCCTGGTATTTGTCAAGGAATTAGTAGACACCAATTCTGGCATCACTGTAGGCATTCAGCAAATGCTTGTCAGTTTGGAATCACCAGGCTGTAACTACTGCTTGATGAGTGGATGGTAGTTGTTGCCATGCTGTGTATTACGGTAGAGTTTCTGACAGGAAGTGACTGGAGTTATGCCTTGTTAAGTGTGTGAAAGGGAATTAAGAGTACAGGAGGACCCATCAGAATCTCAGAATCACTTGCTGGTATACCATTGAATTAGTAAAACCGCACGAAATTGCCAGGATTCTGACCCTCCCCACTCCCCATCGCCTATTAGCGGTCCACCCCAGGGGTGCTGTAAGACTGAGCTCTAAGCGCAGTCCTTTTTTTATTTTTATTTTTATTTTGAGATAGGGTCTTGTTAACCTGCCAGGCTGACCTTCCCTGTTTCAGCCTCCTTGAATAGATGAGATTATAAGCATGTGCTGCTGTGCCTGGCTGATCCTGATTTTTTAAAAGTTGCTTATTAATGGACTAATCATTGTCATTGGTTTTTCCCATCTGGTGTTGTAAAAGTAGGGATTCTTAGTAGAGTACCTGAAGAGGGATTTTATGTTTCAGTGAGACTGTCGTAGAAGATAGTGATGTTTCAGAAGTTGAAATCTTTCAAAGTGACTTAAAGGTGTTTTTTTTTGGTAATGGACTTAATAGAAGTGTGAGCAAATTATTGAAATAATTCAGATTAGCAGTCTGAATTACATTTTTCTTACGAGAACTTTTTCTCCCAATCACTAATATGTTGTGCTTTCAGAAATCGTGTTGTCATGCTTGGTGGAAGGGGGGGGATTAATTAGTATTAAGTGCCTACTATGCTACAGGTGTTTTTTTTTTTTTTTTTTTTTTTTTTTGTCTTTTTCGTTTTTATCGGTACCAGGGATCGAACTCACGACTGCCTGCTTGCAAGGCAGGCTCTTATGCTGCTGAGCTAAATCCCTAGCCCCGCTACAGGTGTTTTTATGTTCTCATTTAATTCTCACAGCCACAATCAAGTGGGTAGGTATCTTCATTTGCTTTCACTTGGCACATTTTGAGTTGGTTTCCAGTCTGCAGCCATCAGGGATATGGTAATAAAACCCCATAGACTTAACAGTGATGGGATGAAGATGTGGACTCCTCAGGTTAAGTAACTTGTCCTAGCTCAGGCTCCTAACAAGATGGGAGCTATATTTAAAAAATTGAAGTCTGTCTGACTGTAAAACACTTGTTTTTGCAGGACTTCTAGTACTTTTGGTGTTGTCTCACTTTGTGCAGTGTTCTTGAAGCTGGTACAGATGAGAGCTATATGAGTTAAAGGAGAAGATAGTGGCTGGAGGCAAAGGGATGGGTTAGGAAATGCTGACTTTAGGCCTGCTGGGGCCTAAGCTATGTTTTTATGTGGGAGGAGATTTTGTCTTGAAACTGGCTTGGGGCCCCAGGGTGTGTGATTTGAGACAGTTTTTATGAGGCACCTGGGATATGTCTGGATGAGGGAAGTCTGATTAAAGAAATGTAGTAGCCTTTTATGTATTTTATTTTGGAGAGGGTGGGGCAAAGGGTATTTCTTGGAACTAAGAGTCACCTGGAAGTTGCCACTTTGTGAAAGTTTCTGTTGAGCTTTGTGGGATGCTTAAATCAGGAGTTTGTGAGGAGCATGTGAGAAGACATGTGAAAGCACTTTGTTAATTATAAACTGAACTGCAGACACAAAGTAATATTACCAGTAAGACTTTTTCTCCTAAGGCAACAGTTTAGTTGTTACATTTAGCAGCTAGAAAAGGCTAGTAGTATTTTAGAACACTTTTACAAAGGAAAAATAGTGTAGAACTGCTGAACGGGATATTTTCTGATTCAACAGCAAAAGTTAGACCACTCCCTGCATGAGTCAGTCAAGTAATATTTAATTCGAGTGAACTAACTTTATAGGCAGAAACCATTTACAACATCATGAGCTTTAGTGGCACTAGGGAAGAGTAAATATTTGAATGCTTTTTGCATGCAACTTTTTAAAAAGTCCAAAAGTCACACATACATAAACACATATGCATATAGTTTACTTGAAAAAGTTGTGAACAGTTAAAAATTAGATTTACTTTTCTTGAGGGTCCCCTATGAACCCCCCCCCCAAGATATTGAACTCAGAAGCCTAGTTAAGCTTTGCCACTGAGCTACTATCTCCAGCTCCTTTCTTGATAGTTTTATTCATTTTCTCCTTTAAAGGTAGTATTTCCTTATGCAGTAATTGTAGATCACTTTACAGTTTTGAAACACAGTTGAAATGCAGTAGTGTTGTAGTTTGTGGGGTTGGTAATCAGTAAAACTTTTTTAGAAAAGTATTTACAAATAATCAGAAATAGCACGTAAGTTTTGACTCTTAGAAGAGTAAAACTTGGAGTTTTAATACTAACCCTAATCCCTAAAATAGTGTTTTTCTTTCTTTTTCTGGTAAGTACAATTCCATCAGCTATATGAGTTGTTAAATAGAAGTTGGGGATCTTTATAAATTTTTGAGTAGCTGGAAATCAGGATCCATTAGTTTTTATTTTATTTTTTTGTCTTCTTGACACACAATTTCATTATGCAGTTCATGGTGGCCTTAAACTCACTTTGTGGCCCAGGCTGACCTCACAGTGCTCCTCATGCCTCAGCCTCCCAAGTGCTGGGATTACAGGAATACACCATAACACCCGACATGGATCCATAGTTTTAATATGGTAGATAGTTATGGTTTATGAGTAGGGTGGAGTAGAGACCTCTTTATCTTAGAGTATTTGAATACTTAAACATTTCTTTCTTGAGAATCTTTGTGCTGGATCACAGTCATCTCATTTAAAACTTAGTATCTATAAGGATTCTTTTAACTTCATGCCTAAGGAAATTGATTTATAGGTAAATTGTTGAATTCCAAGTTTTAGAATCTAGGTAAATGGATATCAGTAAGTAGACGGCAGTAGATAAAACCATGGTTATTTTTGTAATTTTTTTCTCTAGAAGCTTATGGTACTTAAATTCTTGTCAGGAACAGGGATAATTTGATAAATGGTGACCTGAATATATTAATCCATGGGGTATTAGCATCTCTCCTCCATTTTCACTTTCTGAACCATTATGATATGCCCAATATATATATTTATCTTATCATCCGAACCATGTTCTCTGGTTCAGTTGACTTCCTGCCCACTCTCTTGGGACTTGATGCCTTATTGGAGTGCTTAGTGTAGAGCTGAAGTGGATGTTGTGTACAGACCTTGTTGGAATTGTAGAGGCTGAACCAAAAACTCACCACAAGTTTAAGTGCCTACAAACTACATTTCATGATTTCAATGTAAATTCAATGTAAATTTATAAGTACTATGTTGGCTTTTTAAACTCTAGAAAAAAATTTTTTTGTTTCTTTGAGTCAGAGTCTTCTTTTTTTTTTTTGGTACCAGAAATTGAACTCAGGATCTCATGCATGCTGGACAGGTACTCTTGTCTGTTGACTTATATGCCTGGCTCAGGGCCTGAAAATCACTGTTTGGTTAGGATTGGTCTTGAATTTGTGGTGATTCTCCTGCCTCAGCTTCCCAAGTGCTTGCATTACAAGGGTGCACCACCAGGCCCGGGTCTAAATTGGAGAATTTTAAAATTAGGCTTTCCTGTGATCTTTTTTTTGCTAGTTGATCCTGATTTGAAGAAATATCTGGGACATTAGAATAGTCTTTACCCTTCAAGAAAAGGTATATTTAATTTCTGTCCCAGTATTTTTGAGTTAAAATTTCATTCTCAGAAAATGTTGGTTCTTTGGGCATGAAATGCACTCATTTGTTTTAGCATATCAGATAAATTACTTTAACTTTTATTTTTTCTGTGGCCAAAAATGTTGGCTCTTAACTAATGTGTTATTTGACAGAAATTCAAATTCTCAATCAGGTCTGCTGTCTTTTAATTGTACTCTAGTTTTAGTT